TTGCCAACAGAACCGCTCTCTTGCCTTCTTCTGCCTAATAGTCAGTTTAGAAAATCTTGGCTATAACAACTGGCGACGCAGGTAAGTCCCAGGTGTTTCATAAGAGTCATTACAACAGGCAACGCAGACGAACACAGAATTTATTCAGCCCAGAGCACTAATTGAAGATATTGGAGACACGGTGGGCCAGTTTAATGACTCTCGTTGCAGCGATACATAACTGCAGCTGGAACCCGACAGACGTTGGCGGCATAACGAAGTTGTTGGAGGTCAGGCTCGCAATAGCAACTGCAGAAGTGGTAGCCGCAATGGAATCAGAGGAATCAGCTGCGACAATAGCCACAGAAGCAGAAGAATCGGCAGCAGAAGTAGCAGCAGCAGCAGAAGCAACAGAAGCAGAGGAGGCGGCAATCAAGATAACAGAAACAGAAGCGGGCTAGCTGTAATGGAAGTAGAAGGATCAACACAAAAAGTGGACAGCAGCAGTAGAAGCAGCAAAAACACGAGGTAGTGGGAACAGAAGCAAAGGAAGCAGCAATCGAGGCAATGGTTACAGAAGAGGGGCAGCTTCAACAGAAGCAGAAGAAACAGCTACCGAGATAACAGTAGCAGAAGTGAAAGGGGGTAGGTGCAACAGGGTCAGAGAAACCAAAAACGAATGCAGCAACAACAGAATCGGCAGAGGCAGCTGCGGCAGAAGCAGAAGAAACAGCAACCAAGGCGAAAGCAGCGACAGAAATAAAAGAGGCATCTACCACTGAGATATGGAAAAAGGGAAATAGCATATCTCCAGAAACAGCAGCTCCACAGTCGGATAAATGGCACTTCAAACGCTAGGTAACACTTTTGAGGCCCCGATACCCGAGATAGATACAAATTCAGCACCACCACCAGTTCGAAAAAGTCACCAATAAAACAAAACCGACGGAACACCTCATCGTAAACCGAAGAAGGAAGAAACATAAGGACGAGTTTCTAAAAGCGGAAGGTGTTACGGATGCGGCACACGACATGCGCTCACGGCCGTTGACCAGAAGAACGGACCAGTTGGGTCATGCCCACAGCCAAGCCCACGCCGAGTGTTGAGCAAACAATACAACCGCCCACATACCGGGGGCAGTGGCTGCAGTCAAGAAGGTTCCAGAATATCCAGGCGCACACCATGCGTCAGGACTATTCTATAAAGACCGGAACCATGTCAATGTACCGAAGCGGACAAGCTGTAGAACCCTGCGAAGCCAGCTGTCTTTGTGTGGTGCTAAACATAGCCACTGCCAACGGAATCGCTCTCTTGCCTTCTTCTGCCTACTAGTCGAGTTCGAATAAATGGACTATAACAATTATATTTTTGGGAAAAACCCGTCTCAATGAAGGCCAGGTCACCCCAAAGCTACAATTGCCTGGACGTAGTGTTTATCCGAGAATAAATAAATGTGGAAACGTTTTTGAATGACGGGAGTGTAGAAAATTTGCAGGTATATAAACGACGAAGGGGCGTCAGTATGCGGAAGGCAAATAGACTCGCTAGGAAATTTTGGAATTTGGAATTTACATTTGTTAGCCAGGAACAAAATTAAAACCGAAATATAATAAGGAAAATGTGCACGGATAAAATATACAACTTGAAAATAATTTAAGCAGGAATTGCTATGTGGGGCGAAAGTTAGCGATATTTTGAAATTAATAATGATTTAGAAAATAGTCAAGGAAATGAACTCCCACGCTGAAAACAGAGGCAGAGTTCAACGAGTCTCCATTTTCAAAAAAAAGTGTGTAGAAGAAAAAAATGTTTAGGAAAATAAGATAGAGGGGTAGAGTAGGCTAATACTAAAATAGGCGTTCAGAATGGGACAATGAAATATGTGTATAATTCGCTCGTGGACGCTAATGCGCATGACATGTCATTTAGCGAAAACAGCAAAAATTGACCTAGGGCCTCGACATCGCAGGAGCCAGAATGAGATTCTTGTGATGGTTAGTAGCCAATGAAACGGGATCTGTTTAGACTGGCAACGTCCATATGGCTTCAGTCATGGGAATGGCTAGGGGTTTAAGGAGATCTCGTGGTTCTTCGGGAGCACGAGGTAGAAATAATGGTTTCAGGAAGGTCATGAAGCTTCTTTCTCGCAGTCACGGGGAAAGCTGTCCGGAAAAGATGAGGAAAATCAAAG